GGGGGGGAGGGGGCATTTGACCACCCTTGATTTCATCTGCTAACGTAACTGAACAAATAGACGTATGTGTATTCATGCTGAGAGGACAAAAGTGATGATAAAATCGATTCATTAAACTCTCAAGTTGTGATAGCTCCGATCGTTTTCCTTCCACTGTACCACCAATGGGCACTTGCAGCTTGCCAAGACACTGCCGCTGACCTATTTTTTGGGGGGAAAAGTTGTCTGACGCCTTTGGGCGGCACCTTATCGCCTTTCTTCTCCGCAACTGAGAGACAATGCCGCGGGCTTGGGATCATTGTTGCGTTAATTTAATCTTTGTGGGAGGGAATGGGATTGTGGTCAGAGCATTACGGGGTGAAAGGGTGGATAAGTGGGTTATTGAGTATTGAGGATTTTCAAGTGGAGATTTGCAGGAATGAGTAGGTTTCTTTTAGTAGATAATTTGAGCTGCAAGAATCTCAATCCGTGAGAGATCACGCTTTCTTCAGTTTTATCATTTCGGTTATTTTGGTAAAACTAGCGGTGATGCCCTTTTTTCTGTGAGATTGAATATTCCTTTCTTCAATTGATTGTTTTAATTCTTGTTACAAAAAGCAGTAGGATGAGCTGTTGAATTTTCATATTACAATGAACGATTTGCTCATGTTCTAATTCCTATGCTCACTGAATAAGATTTTAATCATAATTACAATTCAATTCCTTCTAGAACACACTAGAGTGCGAATTTCGAGTTGGAGTTCGATGTTTGTTGATACTCTGGTAAAAGTGCGTGCCCACACTGTTATCAATTTTTAGTTAGTTCACACGGTAATTCAATTAATCTGTTGTTCATCTCATCAATATAATTCCGTGCTTAGAAAATTGTCATCTCGTGGTTTCAGCACCAAATTGAAAACTAAAACTTCATTTGGAATATTGAGTCACAGCTTCTTTTTATTCATATCAGAAATTTTGTATTTGGATATTAATATTATTTGTTCAAAGTGAAAAAATCGATCATCATTTTCACTATATTGCATTCAGATTCTCCTATCCTTAACGTCAAAAATGTGAGACAATCTCATAATTCTAGCTATTAATTCTAATCAACTTTGTTCGAAGAGAACCTTAGTAAACGCAATGTTAAGAAAGTAGAATTATTCTATTTTCCTCTGACCTAAATGATTTGGACAATTATCATTCGTTTGGCATACGGGTTATATGGGGGTCATCTTCTACAGGGTATGTTTGGTATAATCCACCTAATATACCAAACATACACGAGGAGACTGGGGGTAAGCGAGCGAAGCGAGCGAGGGGGCCAAGCCCCCCGCGCTAGGCGAGCGAAGCCAGAACTCACGACGCAGACGTGGTTGATGAAGAGTCACAAAAAAGAAATATTAAAAAAATGATTGATTACATATCAGTAGCGAAGCGGTAAACCGGGTCAAGTCGATTTTGACTATTGGCCAGTTTTTGACGAATATCTGGGAATCTAAAAGAGATAGGAAAATTTTTGTTATGACCTTTTTTGTAGAGCCAACTGAGGGTTATAAAAAAGGTAATGAGCAAAATTTTGCTATCTCTCTTAGATTCCGAGATATTTGTCAAAAAATGCCCAAAAGTCAAAATCGACCTAACCCGGTTTATCGCTTCGCTACTGATATATTCGAATTTAATCGAGAGTCCTTTGGTGTTAGGTTACCATTGACCACCAAACAATTTGGAATCACCCTCTGCTTTCAGAATTCAATTTTATTTATATTTCCTCGCCAGCTTAAATTTACTGTCATATGATGGGTATGGGGGCATATGGAGTTATATGGGGGTCATCATCTATATAATCCACCAGATATACTAAACATACCCGAGGAGATTGGGGAGAGCGAGTGAAGCGAGCGGGGGGGCCAAGCCCCCCGGGGTAGGCGAGCGAAGCGAGAACACACGACGAGGACGTGATTGGTAAGAGGCCCCAAAAGAAAATATAAAAATTATTGATTACGTATATTGGAATTTAATCGATGGCCTTTGAGACTGAGGTGGGGTGAGCGAAGCGAGCGGGGGGAGGGGCTAAGCCCCCCGGGGTAGGCGAGCGAAGCCAGCAGAGGGCAGAGCCCCCTAGTAATAAAATAATTCCACAAAATATCCCTTTAAAATTCAATTTAGATCCTCAAAACAGATCCCTTCAGGCTCCAACAACATATTATTGAAATCTACCTGATGAAAATACCGTCAAGGAATTAATTATCCCATTGCAATGTCCTACAGCCTCGCTAATACCTTTGAAATGCCAGCCCTATTTTGAAATGAAAACTAAACTTACAATTCCTTGCCTCGAGTGTTCTCCGTGCAATGTAATGCGGCACGTAAAGGTACTCCCCCCGTGCTTGACGTCCAGCCTCAGTTAAATTGTCCTGACTGACTTCACGTAGACGCAGTAGCCTCTCGTCTCTAAGTAACTTGAGAAACGAAACAAAAATGTGCCTGATTGCAATCGTCTTTGAAACATATATCTCCCAGTGACTCTTGTTCAATTGCCACTGACGGTTAAATATAGCTTCACCCTGTACTCGCCCTTTTCAATGCACTTTTTTTATTTTTTTATTTTCGTATAAAAGTTATTTGCCCCAAGCTGCTTGGGGTGAAAGCTAGGATTGCTTTCCTTTAATTGTTTTGGTCTTTCGAATGGAAAAATACGAGAACACCTCAAAACCTAGTTGATTAAGAAAAAATAGAAAAATAATAATAAATGAAAAGGTCCTAACTACCCAGTGCATTCGTGAAAATGGCATCTGCAATGTCAAAAGGGCGTAAGTTTTTTTTTCGTTTCTGTTGCATGAGTTTATCCCCTTAAAAAATGATAAATAATACGAGGGCGTGCCTGGAAATCATCAGTATTAGAAGGACGTATCTCCAGGACATAAGCCTTTTTGATCCCAACCTTTTATGAATCAAGAATTTTTGCCACTAATTAATTCGAGAATATCGGGAGGACGTAAGTCCAACTTGGAATGTAAAGGGCGTAAGTGTAACTTGGAATGAAAAGAACGTAAGTGGTACTTCCGCTTTTTTCATATTTTATATTTTCTATGCAGAAAAATACGGAAATTTTCACGAAAAAAAGGGCGCAAGTGTGGACATACGCCCTTCTCACGTCGGACGTAATTATGACTCGGAATAATAAGGACGTAAATCCAGATTATAATTCAGAGGGAGTAAATCCACTTTAGAATTCAAAAGACGTAAGTCGGACTCTTAACGAAACGGGCGTATGTCCAATCCCAATAGAGTGAAAAAAAAACTACATGAGTTGGACTCACACATTTTTCCCCCCAAAACACATCAATGCATCTTTTCTCGTGTTCCATTTTTCTGCACATAAAATTAGGAAAATTTCCATAATCTAAATAGCACACGTTTGGACATACGCCTTATCACTTCACACGTGGGCAATTATGCCCTTCTCTCAATTACGTCGTAAATACGACGATATTATTGCCAACATTTACGGAATGTTAAAAAATTTTAAAATACCACCTGATAATATCGAAAGGGCGTAAGTCCAACAAGAACATAATTTTAAAAACAACACGAGTTGGACTTACGCCCTTTCAATTCCTCAATTTTTCACAAATACTCAGAACCAAAGGGTCGTAAATGCGGACATACGCCCTTTTAGTCCTAAAAACCCATTGTTTATTTGGAATTACGGTTTTTCACAAATTCAATAGCAAAATCCATATCCGTCTTACTTAGGCCCTTTCAATGCCTCAATTTCTCATAAATACTCAGAATCAAAGGGTCGTAAATGCGGACATACGCCTTTTTAGTCCTGAAAACCCATTGTTTATTTGGAATTACGGTTTTTCACAAATTCAATAGCAAAATCCATATCCGTCTTACTTAGGCCCTTTCAATGCCTCAATTTTCCACAAATAGTCAGAATCAAAGGGTCGTAAATGCGGACATACGCCCGCTTAGTCCTGAAAATCCATTGTTTCTTTGGAATTACATTTTTTTTTCACAAATTCAATAGCAAAATCCATATCCGTCTTACTTAGGCCGTTTCAATACCTAAATTTTTCACAAATACTCAGAACCAAAAGGTCGTAAATGCGGACATACGCCCTTTTAGTCCTGAGAATTCATTTTTTTTCGTTGGAATTACGTTCTTTTCACAAATTCAATAGTAAAATCCATACCCGTTCGAGCCTCAAGGAAACCGTAAGACCAGCTGGATTGATTGTTGCACAGAGAGGACGATCTTGGGGTGCACAACCAGCTGCCAGTGATTCAAGCTCACGTCGCAGCCCATCCGCTTCACGACTCAATCCAGCGCCTAGTTCACGAGCTCGTTCGCCCTCTTTCAGAATGGTCTTTGCACGGCTTGAAAGTTCCTGGCTCGCTGAAAAATGCAATTCAACCCAGTAACACCGGGTGAGAACTTTCTAAGCCCTTATTTTTGTTTCACGATAAAAGGTGAGGGTGCGCCGTTTCGAGAGGTAATAGAATTTTCTTTGACGCGAAAATATACTCAATAACAACGTGGATTTATCGCGAATGGGCCGTCTGGGGCGATAAGGTGTGAAGGTACCGAGTCAAACGATCGTAAATTATTCGAGAAAATGGGATGTACAGGGGTACTGAGCTTCTATCCTTTAATATTGAATGTCTATGAATATTCAAGGCCTTGAGTTACAGTCGTCCTGCATTTCGCTGTATCGCTTGCGGTTTGTAGCTCGTGACGCAAAGTTTTTAATTGAGTGGGGGCGATGTTAAATGGTGACATTTACATTTGAGCAGGACATGAGGAACTACTTACTCCGGAAATCATGCCGCCACTCTATGATAACATCAACTCAAAATCACGTGAAACCATTGAATTCAGGGAAATCACTGGAATGCGCGAAACCGAATCAAATGAAAGCGAAACCCGGAATTACTGGTGTTGTGTGGATTGTGCGAGTAATTCGGCATTTTTAATTGCAAAAAAAATGAGCTCGGCGGAAAAACTACAGATTTTCGTGGAACAGATTTACCGGAGGAAAAAATTTGAGTCCCTAGTTCAATTCTTTTATTAAGCGTTGGCGTCGTCCGTTTTTTTCTCGGGAAATTTGTTTAGCTAAAAAAAGAAGAGAAACGTCGAGCGGATAGAAAAGCGGCGCCGCGCCGCTCGGTGCGAGTGGATCCCTGCCGACCGCACGAGCGACAGTGTTGCTACATTCACTGCCACACTTGAAATACGCGCATAACGGTAGGCGCCAAATTGGCAACAGCGCGCTCAGTTTAACGCAGCGGCGCTGCGCTAACCGCGCGACGGATGAAGGCTGGCGGCCGAGCGCGAGTGATCGAGGGGTAAATTTGGGTTTTTCCAAAATCTTTTTCCGGATTTTTGTTCAATAAATAACCTGTTACGACCATTTAAATTATTAAGCCTCGGTCTATGATTACACAGATTTTTTACATCTAAAATTCATTATTATAATCACATCTTCGCCAACAATTTATTAATATAACCAAATAAGATTTTTTATAAAAATTTATTCATGTCCAACTGTAAGAACCTGTAAATAAGAGATAAAAAATGAATTTTGTTACAAGAAAAATCGAGGCTTAAATGAACATAGAAAAGTAATTTTATGCCTTTGATTCAAGACTGGCGAAGCAATTAGTCTAAACTCGTTGGAATAGTGCGCTTAAATGACTTGTATTTTTCATTTCATTGTAGCCTTTTTCTATCTTTCAATTGTCTTGCCTTACGAGATTGTTAATGAAGATGATAATGATAATTATGATGAAGATGTGTGATGATAATTATGGGACTGATATCCAAAAAAATTGCAGGATACTAATATTGTAAATAAATATAAATATATACTGATATAAATAATAAAAATAATAAATAATTAAATTCAAAACAAACAAAATTATAATAATGTAATAATTCATAAGATTCATTTTTAATAATTATGTTATATTTTGGTTTTCTCTCAGAGGATTTTTGTATCTGAGGGAAATTATAAATTGCTTCATCATCATCATCATCATTATCGGCAGAAAAATGTTTTAAAGGAAGCTAGCCAGCACCGCAAACCGTCAATTACTAAAGCAACTTTGTTAAAAGGCTTCTTACTATTCGAAACTTGAAAAAATATCGCAAGAGCAATCTCCAGTCCAGTTTCCGTTGCCAAATCCACTTGTACGGGTTTACCAAGCAATTCCTCCACATCTAGAAAACATAATAATAATCGCAACTGACTTTATCCGACAGAATGATAGAATGGAATTCATTGATTAGGTGTTGACCGCGTGCGTTCTGACACATCCGTAAAATCCTGGATAAGCGTTGGACACGTGAATTATAAACCTCCCCAGCATCGATTTCGCAGCGGCAATAAATTGGGTCATTGTCATATTTATGATGGAGAATCTAATCGAAAATTTTTCGGATGCGATCACATGGCAACTTTTGTAATGCACTCTTTGCTTGTTTCAATCACTTACTATCTAAATCGGCCATGATGGCCTCGCTGGCGACATCAAGACTCCTCGTGAGACACTTGCGTATGTGGCCGGTTGTGCCTGTATGGTAGTCCCTGAAATCCTCAATAGCTGTTTCCACGACGATTGGTATTTTTGATATTCCGATGTTTGCGGCCTCATTCGAAATAATCATTCCACTTATTCCAATCCTGAGAGCACTTTTTTATTAATATTCGTTCCTTACAAATAGGTAATAAAGATATTCCATGGAATTTTGTTATTCTTTTGTTCTTATATTAATTCATGTCTAAATTGAAGGTAAAATTTTCAAATTGATTTTAATGAAAAAAACAAAAATGATTGAAGAATGATGAATTGAAAATGCGATTAATTGTTTATAATCACATAAATATATTTATAATCATGTAAATGATTTGCTCGTGTTCTAATCCTTATGCTCACGGAATAAGATTTCAATTATAATTACAATTCAATTTCTTCTAGAACACACTTTAGAGTGTGAATTTCTGGAATTCAATGTCTGTTGATACTCTGGTAAAAGTGCGTGCCCACAGTTATCAATTTTTAGTTAGTTCACACGGTAATTCAATTAATCTGTTGTTCATCTCATCAATATAATTCCGTACTTAGAATATTGTCATCTCGTGTTTACAGCACCAAATTAAAAATTAAAACTTCATTTGGAATATTGAGTCACAGCTTCTTTTTATTCATATCAGAAATTTTGTATTTGGATATTAATACTATTTGTTCAAAGTAAAAAAATCGATCATCATTTTCACTATAGTGCATTCAGATTCTCCTATCCTTAACGTCAAAAATGTGAGATAATCTCATAATTCTAGCTATTAATTCTAATCAACAAAGTAGAATTATTCTATTTTCCTCTGACCTAAATGATTGGACAATTATGATTCGTTTATTCATGTTTCATAGAATGGTATTCAATTCTCTTTTTTTCGACGCAAGACGATTGTACTCATGAAAACCGTCTTGCTTTCTCCATTCGTTCGAGATGTCCGCCATTTTCGAGTCTTTTTTATAAAGGATAAACGAAATAATAAAATTGAACAATTTTTCATGTATTGATCCGAACTATTGCAATATTTTGATTGTTTTTGTGCAATCACTTTAGTGATCATCAATTCTCAGATACCTCAGCACCATTCGCAGATCTTGTTATGGACACATGAATGTAACTCACCCAAGTAGTAAAACGAGAATGGACAATAGAAAGGCCAGAAATCCAGGATGCTGCGAGGGTTTATAATCTCTGATTGGACGACAGGCGAGCCAGAGCTCAGTGCCAGGAATCACGCACGCCAAAATACAGCAGACTCCGAGAAGCGAGAGGAACCCGACCTCCATATGCATGGACTGGAACATTTTGATATAAATTTACGTTTATATCTGGATATTCAGGTAAGATATATGTCCACGAAATGTGTGAGTTACCTCTCGGAGTAAGTAAATACAAGGCTGAGTGGGTCTTACCTCAGATATGAGTTTCGATGCTGTTATACGGCCTTCCACTGCGTCTCTCAGCAGATCTAATATTGACCGGAATACGATATTACATTCATTAGATTTTTTTTTTCGTGAAAACAAAACCTCGTTGGTCACATAATAGAGATATTTCGTGGATTTTTTATTATTTCATTCCAAAACGTTTTGTTTAAGATTTTAAAAAATAAATTTTTAGAATGTCCGGATGACCTCGGCAACTCCGAATTGCAGAGAAGTGTGACGTCATTTTTACGGAATAAGCGAAACGATGAAATTGAAGAATTTCTCATTCTTTGAGTTTTCTGTTATCCAAATAATCTATTTCATTAATTTCTGCATTAGAAAAATGTATGAAATATTCCTATTGTTTGGAGAAGTATGGTTCACTCCCTACAGAGAAAAAAGGTGGAGAAAAATTACCGATTAAGTCAATTAATGGTGAATTAATGGTGAACTAGCGAAGTAGATTATATTATCTTATATTAATTTATTTTATCGTTTTTTTTTCAATTTTTCTTTGCGATTAAATTAAATTAAATTTATTGGTTTCTATTCCCATTGTAGTATACAAATTGTGGGAAAAGTTTTTCTCATTTTCGAATGAAGAAATATTTATGTTAAATAATATCCGTATAATATAATAATTCCTCTCAATGAAATCAGATTATGAAAATGAAATTTTTCGTTTTCCTAATCTGATTTCATTGAGAGAAAATTAGAAAACTGCAGGGAGAGATGGTCAGCAAGAAAATAAAAAAAGCGATTTTTTAATTTTCTGAAAAATTTCAAAACTGATTTTTTTTAGATGACGAAAAAATATCAATATGTTTCCTTTCTATGATCTAATTTCAATGGAAGAAAGTGAAAAAAAACATAGATATTGATGAGTAAGAAAATAAAAATTTCGATTTTTCAATGTCTCCGGAAAGTTTTAAAATTGATATATTTTTTCAAATAATGGAAGAATACCTATCAATTCAATTTCTACTCTCACATTTTCATAGAATACATTAAAAAAATAGCAAAGAATAAAAATCGGAGATGAAAATTTTTATCGGATTAATATAATGTAATAATAATAATAGTGAATTTTTCTCCGTTGGCTCAGGAAAATTTACTGACCGTGAGGTTAATTTGCGCCGAAACAGTAAATTTACCCTGCATTCCACCAAAAATTATCCCAGTGAACGTGAATGATTGCTCAATATTACGCATAATTTTTCTAGAACGGAGAATGATTTTTTACCGAACACGTTGCAGTGAATTTTTCGTAACATTTTCTAGTACACAGTTTCTGCATTTCTTATTTGATTTGAACAAGGAATAAACAAATAATTTCATATGTGATTCAAACAGTTATTGTTGCCTTCATCAACAACATATGAGGATAGAAAAACGCAATAACTCATGAGAATACATAAATTAACTTATTTAGAATTTTTTCCGGAAGTCCACAGGGACTTCGATTTTGTAGGAATCTTGGATCGCACGCTAAATTGGTCGACTTGGAATTTTTATTAACTCATTTTTCTCATTTCAGTACCGAAGTAGTCAAACGATTCAAGTCAATTTAGTTTTAGTTCAGTTTTAGAGAAATATTTCCGATTTAAAGGGAAATAGCGAAATTTTCATAATAACCTTTTTTGTAGAGCGTATTGAGTGCTACGAAAAAGGTTATGAGAAAAATTTTGCTGTCTCCCTTAGATTTCGAGATATTCATTGAAAACTGGCCAATAGCCAAAATCGACTTAAACCGTTTGACCACTTCGCTACTGATTTTATTTTCATAATTTCCATTGTTTCTATGTATTCAGTGCTTGGCACCTTTTGTGATTTCACCACTTTTTATAAACACAACGCTTGGACCCTTTGTTGGTGAGTTTTTTTCAAAAATTTATTTTTGTTTTTGGGAATACCGTAATCCCCCCATAAAAAATATATAAAAAATATATACAATAGGGGCCAATTCTATATATTTTTCAAATTTATAAAAAATATATATAAAACGTAGGGGAGGTTGGGGTAAAACGGACACTTTTGAATTTTTAAAAAATGTTAATGGGGGGTTGAAATGTTGATAAAATTTAATAATTTGTTTTTTTTCAATATGAAGAACATATCTTCCCCTTTGTGACAAGTCTAAACTGAGCCCAATTGATCAATTTGTTTCTGAGTTACGAATAATTTTAAAAAAGTCTAAAGTGTCCGTTTTACCCTACCCACCCCTATATTTAATTTTTTTTCATACATAAAAAAATATAAAATCCACTATTAATAAATGGGGCCAATTCAAGATATTTTTTTACATATTTTTCAAAACATAAATTGTTCCGTGTGGGATAACAGCGCAAAAATACCAGCTTAAGCCAAAAAAATTGTCTGTATTTACCCAGTGGAATATCGTAAGGCTGAATGGCAGTTAAAAACTCGTGCAAAAAATCAACCGAAAATAGTTGTTTTTCACCGAGTAAATGGGCCATTTTAAAGCCCTCCTCAGGCGGTGTTTTTGGAAAATCAAGTGTTGGCTTTAAAAGCATCCATTCGTGTGGTAGTGCCAGAGTTTTCGTACGTGTTACGTTCCAAACTGGTGTCCCGTTATCCGTCCAATATATTGCTTCATTTTCGTTGGCTGGAAATGCTGGCTGTGTTGTTGACAAATATTGGGATTGAAATCCTATCGATTCACCCACAGCTATGACCGCAACTGCAACTGTAATTTTTAAGTGTTAAATTGGTGGCTATTGTTTGGTAATTGCAGCATTAATTCCCGGAATTAAAAAGAAACTATATTGTTTCCTCGGAGTTATTGTTTTCAATTACTTGTGAGGTAGCGATTCAGCATTTTGATTGTTGGGAATTTATTTATGATTTATGCTGATGGCGAGCGATAGAGACTACAACTAATTGTGGTGAATGGCGTGGCACAGTCCGCAAACTGGCGATGTACTGAATTCCAGAGGTTTCGTGAAACCTTATTGAGAATTAACTCACTAGTGCCAGACTGGTTCAATCACGTTGGGGGCATGAGAATTCAGGGGGACTGGGGTCGGAGAAAAGAAATTAGTGCTGCGGACTAGATGAGTAAGCGGGTGAAAGGAGGGCAGAAGACGAAAGAGATGCCCTAAAATAAACTAGACCAGGAAGAGTTTAAGAATTTTTAAGTGGTTTTGCTGTTTCTTTTTTTTTATTCATTTTCTACGGTAAAAGGTGAAGTATTTCGTGACGATCGGATGGAGATACTATTTCAAATACTTCGGTATGAATGAATTTCAAAATTAAACTACTCTAGTACTATTTCATTCACGAATATTTCAATTTCTAATTCAAGTGTTATTTTGATATTTTGTAATGTTTGTATTATTCGAACTGTGAATGTCCAAATTTGATTGTTCATTTTAAAACATTAGAAAACATTTTGAAAATTGAAGAAAATAGGATGTTTTTATTGAAGACAAATTTATAAAATTATTATTATACAAATTAAATGCTACGGACAATCATTTCGAATGAAATTTTGCTAAAGAAGAGAATGAAGTCTCTAGGGCCAGACTGGTTCAATCATATTGGGGGCATGAGAATTCAGGGGGACTGGGGTCGGAGAAAAGAAATTAGTGCTGCGGACTAGATGAGTAAGCGGGTGAAAGGAGGGCAGAAGACGAAAGAGATGCCCTAAAATAAACTAGACCAGGAAGAGTTTAAGAATTTTTAAGTGGTTTTGCTGTTTCTTTTTTTTTATTCATTTTCTACGGTAAAAGGTGAAGTATTTCGTGACGATCGGATGGGGATACTATTTCAAATACTTCGGTATGAATGAATTTCAAAAGTAAACTACTTCATGAATATTTCAGTTAATAATTCAAATTATATTTTATCATGTTTTTATTCCTCAAACATTGAATGCCCAAATTTTATTGTTTATCTTCAACCATTAGGAAATATTTTGAAAATAAAACAAATTAAGTATTTTTCTTGAAGAGAAATTCATAGACTAATTGAAAAATTTTAGTTTGCAAGGATTACAATTGTTAATTATTCGCTCGTAAAAATTAAATGCTATGGAAAATCATTTTAAATGAAACTTGAATAACGGAGAAAGATATGAAGAAGAATTGGAGTGAAGTGCAAGTCAAAATTTATACTTCAGTCCATGCAAAACGGTACAAGCAACTTGGATAGAATGAAATAAGAAAGCTGGGGCTCCACACTGAGTCTATTCCGGAGATGAGACGATTGGTACTAGTCGTTGCGTGCGATTCGAGTGATTTTTCAGACGCGGAGATTGTTAGAATCCGGGGTGTGGAGATATTTGACTGGTTCCCGTGCTGTATCGACAGATTTTCATCGAATCAAATGGGATTACCGGGTTGTACTGTATTCGTCTTGGAATATGAATTTATCCTGAGAGGGCGCATCTGTGAAAAGTAACGGGATTGAGGAAAAATGAGAGTTTATGTTTATAGGATTTGAGATTCGAGGGGTTTGCGAGAGCGTGAAATTTGACCCTTGTAAGGGGCTGGTAAGGGTCAACTGCTACGATGACGATATGGGTATAACATTTCATATTTTTGGGATTTTCGGCCCTTGTGAGTGTTCGTAAGGGTCAAACGTGACCATAAAAATTTTCGACCCTTCATAAGGGTTTAAAAAGGGCTTTTTATAAGAGGATTGGTACTAGTCAAAAAACGTGGACAAATGAACTACCTAATACCTTAATTAGGTAACCCCTTAATGGGTTGATAAGGGTCAATTGTGATCATCAAAATTTTGACCCTTAATAAGGGTTTAAAACGGACGTTTTATAAGGGTCAAAATTTGAATGATCACGTGAATATCACGTGTGACCCTTATAACGGCCAAAATTTTGATGATCCCATTTGACCCTTATGAGGTTCACGCGTAATATTCACCTGATCATCAAAATTTTGACCCTTAATAAGGGTTAAGAAAGGGTCTTTCATAAGGGCCGAAATTCATAAGGGTTAAAGAAGGATCTTTTATATGAGTTAAAATATTGATGATCACGTGAATATCACGCGTGACCCTCGTAAGGGTCAAAATTTTGATGATCCCGTCTGACCTTCGTGAGGGTCACACCTGATATTCACATGATCGTCAAAATTTTGAACCTTAATAAGGGTTAAAGAGGATCTTTTATCATTTTGGCCCTAAATAATTTGAAACCTTGTGAGTGTTTCACAAGAGTTAAACATAATCATCAAAATTTTAACCCATAATAAGGGTTAAAAAGGGATCTTTCATAGGGGCCAAAATTAATAATTGTTAATAAGGGTTAAAAAAGGGTATTTCGTAAGGGTCAAAATTTTTATGATCACATGAATATCACGTGTGACACTCATAAGGGTCAAACGGGATCTTAAATTTTGACATTTTGGCATAAATTTGACTCTTAATGAGGATTTAAAAGGGTCTTTTAACATTTTGACCTTTAATAAGGGTTAAAAAGGGTCTTCCTTAAGGTCACGTAGGGGTAAACAACGAGCGGAAAGGCCTTGATATATTCACATTTGAAGTTTATGAGCTTCAGAGTGAGGCCACTATAGGTAAAACTCCGAGGATCGCGACTCTTATGAGAGTCATATAAGGGTCAAAGGAGAAGATACTGTCACATAAAGATTAAAAATGAGGCTCAATATAGGAATATTTTATGGAATTTTATGATCCTTTTATTTTAATTTATGGCAAATTACGTCTACATTCGCAATAAAATTTTATAAACCATTTTTCTTATTTAAAAAAATATGAATTCAAAATGCTCAAATGACCTTGAATGACGTCACACTTTGAATCCAGCAAGGTCATCTTTCGTTGCCTTTGCGTCTCGATATATTAAGTAAATAAAAAAAGTGTAAAATTTAATAAAATATTGTTCACAATATTCATTGAAGAAATTCCCAAAAAAAAACGTATTCACCAATGAAAAATCCGAAAAAGTAAAGGGATCCCCATCGAAGAGTCTTCTCCCAAATCTCCTCGTTCTCGAGATAAATGAACAATTACGAAAAATGTCGGAATTGACATATAACGGTTCACCACTTCTCGCCCGAATTATATCACCCCCATTAATCACTGCCTGTGGTATTTACTTCTGAAACTTCTCGACTCATCTCACTCGATTCCTCGAAACGCTCCTGGAAATGAAATGGGAATTCTTGAAACCCCGATAAGGCTGTTGGTAGCTAAATTAATTAACAACTTGGCTTTGGAATAATGATTTATCGTCCCCTAGCGCTGGGATTTACACCGAGTAAATGGTAATTGGTATTAAAATTAAGTATCCGAGTGTTTCTGGATGCTCTCCAATGTTACAAAGTGAACATTATCGGTTACATGCATATCCATAATCCACATGTGGTCATTATCTCACTGTGCGTTTGGGGGGGGAGGGGAGGGGCGGCTCAAGGCTATTCCTCCCGGCTTCTGACCTCGTGACTGAGGAAGTCAGGGTACGGAAGGGACAGACGAAGGGCGGAGAGATCGGAGAGCGTTAATCCTGATTCAACACGGCCAATTCTACCAATGATATTGGCATTCCACCGTGCATTGCAATGAAATTAAGGTATTAGGTAGTTCATTTGTCCATCTGTTGATGCTGAGCGGGGGTGGGGAGGGGGGG